GTGTAAGCCCTGCTCGGCAATAACAAAAACATCTCTACGTTATCAACCCTGTGTTCAGCACAAATCCAGTAACCACTGTGAAGAAAATTAAATCTACTCCAGTCAACACTTTTTTCAAGTGAATTTTTTTTTTTTTGTACTAAAGTTATAGCTGAAGTTGTGGTGTTTTTTTTTTTTTTTTAAATTAATGGTTGGAAGCTATTTGAAAAGATTATCAACCTTCTGTAGAGCTCTTCAGATTTAGAATATACCTGCCAGTCTATTTCTCACCACTTCCACTGTGGTTTTGTTCTACTGTATTAATGACATGTACTGGATTTGTTGCTAAAGGCTGAAGATGTGTTTTTTTAGGCTCTCTAATACAACTGGAAGACTTCATATTTTTAGGTCAAGTCTTTGCAAAAGCTGATTAGCAGAAGTCTTTTTAATTCTACCTCAGTAAAAAAATACACAAGCTTGCAAAAAAGTCATAACTTCACTTTTGTCATTACTGTGCATATAGTATGAAGTACATGTGAACTAGCAGATAATTAAAATATAATTCAGATATGAAAGTTGCTTCAGGCACTGAAATAGAAATGGGATATCAGTTCAGTTGGTCCCTGCTGTAGTGTTTAAGTAAATTGTTAGGGAAAATGCTTTGCTTGATGATTAATGTTGCTTGCACAGAGAAGGATTGACATTTAGTTCATAGGTAAAGGCTAATCACTGTAATCACTTGGTAATTACCCTATTGCTGATTGGTATTCATCATTTTATTGTGCAGTCAGTAAACATTTACATGCTTGTTTTAGGTGTACTTGCATCGTTAATCCATATCCCAAATGGTAGTCTCATGAATGCTTTGGAAATGGTATTGAAATTGCTGCGCAGCATGGTCTTCTGGTAATTAAAAACAAAACAAACCCTCAAAACCCAACAAATCAAAAACCCAGAGAATAAAACCAAACCTTGTGATTTTGTCATTCATAGGGCCTGCCTTGACCTGGCTGCCTGGTTAAAGCCATACAAACACGTAACAATGTACTCTGCCTAAATACTCAGCATACAAACAAACAGGAAATTTGAACTCAGGTGTGCTTCCAATTGCATTGAGGCAGAACTGTTTTTTATCAGTTAGGTTTGTGTAACTACTTTAAATCAGTATCCTGTAGTCTCATTCAAAGCCACACCGGATTATTTTTCTCCTCTCTCAAAGAAATACTTAGTGTCTCTTCAGAGGAGAACCCTTGGGAGTCAGGAGATAGGCTTCTTGGAGATCATGTAAAGTTCTGTAATAACAATGTGTCTTTTTCCTCTTAAGGCATCGCTGGCTCCACTCAATGACGGATGACCCTCCGACTACTCATCCACCAGTTGCTCGTAAATTTATCTGGGAGAACCATAAATTCAACCTGAGTGGCACTCCTGGGCAGTACGTGCCTTACTCTACTACTCGCAAGAAGATCCAAGAGTGGATCCCCCCTAAAACAGCCAGCAAATAACAGCAACAGAAATGTGACTTGCCTCAGCTTTGGCTTTCAGTATAAATTGTAACTTCATTGATGGTTTGTTCAGAATAAAAGCCTCCTATAACAGCTGTAGTTTAGCTTATTGAATTGGAGGGGAGAACAAGTGAGAAAACATTGGGAAGAGGACAGAACACATGACAGGTCTTAATCTCATGAACACACTGGGCTTTTTCTCATATCATCAGCATCCTATCTTCACATAAGCAGCTCTCAGACTCTTCTTAGCATGATAACCATTCCTGTGACAGTCACTCCTCACATTTGAAATACAGCTTTCTCGTGTTTTGGTGTTATCCTGTTACAGTCTCTGCATGGCAAATAATGCACTCCTCATATACTATTTTAGGAGGCTATCTCTCTAAATTTTTATAAGTTAGAATAATAAGGTCAATCAAGGATTATAGTTTTTACTCATAAAATGTGCATGAGTATGTTCATGAGTGTGCAAAAAGCATTGCTGTATTCCAGTATGGTATGATATACAATATAAAGCTTGTAAGACTACATTAATAAATGACATCTCCACCCCCTAAGAGAGCTCAGTCATAAGCAGAGGGCCCTCTGTCACAAAAATCTTTTGTTGCTTCTGTGTTGCTGAGATTTATTACAAGGTATTCTCATAAGGCTTTGGGATGAGCTGTTTGTCCTCTTGTGACAAGATTTTAAAGGTCTTTTGGAGTTTGAAAATGCACCTTTTTAGGAGGTAGAGAAGTAAAATGTATCAGAACCTAGTCTCAAAAATGTGAAGTTTTCAAGTTCATATTTGAAAGAGAGTTGGTTGGGGCTGTGGCTTTTTTTCTGTAAGTTGCTAATGGTTGACTTCTGTTGCAGCCTGCTAATGTTTTTTAGCAGAGTTGCCATCTCCACAAGGCTTCCTGTATCTGATGACCTACTCTGTGGATAACTAGTGGGGAGGTGCCCACCCAGCCCCTCAACTGGATGGGGGAGAAAATAGAAAGCTCATGGGTTGACATAAAGATGGGGAAACTGCTTGCCAGTTACCATCATGAACAAAAGAGACTTTAATATATTACCAAGTAAAATAGACTTACATGGTGAGAATCAAAGACAAAAAATGTAAATTACCACTTTCCCTCCCTACTACTTCCCAGGCTCAACTTCACACCTTCATTCCTGACTCCTCTATCTTCCCCCTCCTGGGGTGAATGGGGGCTGTGGTCAGTCCATCACAGCTCCTCTCTGCTGTTCCTTCCTTGTACATCCCCCTGCTTCAGCTTGGGTCCTCTTCATGGCTGCAGTCCTTTGGGATACACCCAATAGGGGTTTTCCATAGGCTGCAGTTCCTGTTGGGAAATGCCTGCCTGCTGGCAGGGGTTCTTCCTGGGGTTCTCAGGAATCTCAGCTCTGGCACCTGCAGCACCTTCTCACCCTCCTCCTGCTCTGAATTTGGTGTTCACGTGGCTGCTGCACACTTTTTTTCTCCCTGTCTTCTGCCTGTGTAATGTTTCTTGCCCCATATGAAATACTCTTTCCCAGAGTATGGTGGCCAGACTGAGCCGTGCCCTGTGGTGGGTTGGCTGTATCCACAGAGCCTCTCCCCACAGAGGCCTCTGCAGATCTCGCTGCCAGCACCTTGATAATTCTACCCAGTGCACTGACTTAGAGGAATCATTGAGGAAGATGACTAAGGGGTTTGGATATATTACATGCTTGCAATTGCCTGTCAAGAAGAAAAAACCTTCTTTGCTCCCCAGTAGCCCCCACAGTGGCTGTATATCTGACTCTACACTGGCTGCTTTTCCTTCATGTGCCTGCCTGCCTGGGTCACTTAACCCCCAGTTGCTTCATTATTAAATCAAGTTTGTATTAATTCATTATTTAAAAGTGGGGGTTTTAGCTTTAATTGCTTTAAACTGGTTCCAGTCTTTAAATTAGTAGGAAGTAGCACCAAGATCTCCTAACCTGTCTAATTAGAAAGGGGCAATGTTTAATTTACTTTAAGTCAACAAAAGCACTGAGCACAGATGAAAAGCAATTTGAGGCACACTGAACATGGAAAGGACTTGTTTAACATTTTAATCTTGATAGATTATTTGACCCTAAGAACAAAGTTTGCCCCAGTGCTGCTGAAGAGCTTCATTACTAACACTCATCTATACAAGCCCTATGGGCTCAAACACAGATAAAGCAATAAACTTTATTTGTTTTAGCCTCTACTTCTCTTTAATGCATTTTCTACCTATTTCATTCCTCTTCTTTCTTTGTCCTGCGCATTTTTGGTTTGCTTCCTAAACACACATCAGGAGGTACACTTGGGAATGAGACTCTACTCAGGGAATAGATAGTAACTCTTACTACACGTTCCATGCTGAAAAAAAGAGGCATCAGAGCCTGTTTGTCCTTTTGTTGTCATCCGGAACAGAAATATTGAGGTAGCAACAAAGTTTTGAACAACTTTGTGTGCAGCAATGCTCCACAGAAAGAGAGAAAAATGAGCTTTCCTCCTGCCCCGCTAGGCTGAAGCAAGCCTAAGGACTCAGTAGTTTGGTTTAGAAAATATCATCAATCCCACTTTCTGCAGAGGACAGAAACCCTCTCATCCTGCTTTATCCAGCAGGAACCAAAAATGGTGGATTTTAAATGCAAAATTTTACTGGCATCTCTTGTAGCATTGTTTCTCTAAGGTAGATTGCACAAGTCACATACAGGAGATAAAGCGTATGCAGAAAAATCAGTGCTCTTCCACAGGGCTTTCTGCAAACGCTTCTGCAATTCAGTCTTTTTATCAGCAGCCTCACTGAGTTATGGAAGTTCACCTTTGCTGATGACATCTGCCTCAGTATTCAGGCTCAGTTCCATTCTGGTCTACATGACATTTTAAATGCCAAGCTAGCCAAGAATCTCAGCAGATGGTGTCTTCAACCAAGTGCAACCAAAGCACTGACAGGAATATTCCCCTTGCACTAAATGTGATTCTTAAAAGAAACAACCTTCTGACATGAAACAGTCTCTTTAAGAAGACAGGTACCTCTTCCAAGAGTGCTGAAACCCCCTTTTATTTTAAAATTGTGTCCGTACCAGTAGCTTTCCACATCCCCACGGTCCAGAGCAGCCCTTTGCTGTAGCTGCCTCTAGGCTTTTGCTGAGCTCACAGCACACTGGTCTCAGCCCTGCGCACTGGAATGGAACCCTTCCCTCCATGGGGCACGGCATCCTCTCTCGCTGCTGCCAGTACCTCTGCCCGGTACAGCTGAAACTGGCCATGGGACGCGGGGGTGGAGAATGACGGTGACAGGAGCTTCAGGAGACCATCTCCCCCTGTGAAGATCCCAGTAAGAGCAGGTCAGTCCTGGGGCGTGTGACACGGCTCTGCAGCGCTGCTGGCCACATGTGCCCCCTGTGCACCGTGTCAGCCCCGCTGCCGAGCCGGCTGCGCTGCACAGCAGGACACACGCCCGGTCCCCGTCTCGGGATGACTCTGTCAGCAGGGAGTTTATCAAGACCCTGGTAGTCCAACAGCTCAGGTCAGCACAACACAGCATTAAAATAACAATTTTAATGTTAAATGGGGTCCATTGGGAGCGTGGTGCTTACTAAGCCTCCATGTTTTGACCTAGAGACCCAAAAATTGCCCTGACTGCGCAGTTCTGGAGCAGGTGAAGGTTGCCTTGGAGAGAGAGGACCTCTGCAGTAGGTGAGTACAAACAACACTGTTTAATGGTGTACAAACTTATATTGGGCATGATGTTGAAAGCAGCTAATGAATCTGCTGTGGCTGTTTGGCAAAATGTTTCAGCAGATGAGATAGATGGAGGAGAGAGACAGCACCAGCATTGCATTGAAGAGCTTGCAGCAAAAAGTTAACATTTCATAACCATTTCTAGCTACAGCAAGAAGAGAAATCTTTGACCAGCTGGGACATCCTAGAGCTTTTAAGAAAGCTGGAATAAGAGAGCAGGTCTTGTCCTCTCCTGTCTGACCTGTGTTATACTACTGATTTCCTGCATGCTGTGCCCACTTGGGTCCTTGAGGGCCTGCTAAGAACATTCAGATAGTCACCAACTCATATTTCCATGTCATCTAACCTCAGGCTTCAATTTTTGGGATGCTTCCTGCTAGAAGTTGGTGTTGGGGAGCAGTCTTAGTGGGAATTACTGGGGAAATTGTTTTGGATAGAGCTGGAAGTCATCAGCCCAGAAAGCTGAGGTATAAATTTTCCACAGATGTGATGCATTCAGAGTGAAACCTTTGTTACTAATTCTTTGGGGCCTATTATTCCATTGGCAGCTCAGGAAAAGAGAAGGAACAGATCCTTGCTTTTCTAAGAAGTTAACGGCAAATCTAAAGGCTCTGCATTCATGTGGTGTTTGCAAGGAGTGTACAAAAGCAGGTACTTTAAGGTGTGGGCAAAAGTGGCAGCCTTTAAATATCACTCTGGGTTCCTCACACAAATCCCACAGTAAATTCTGGATTGCACCAAGGGGAAGCATATTTCAGTGGAAGATATCAGAAAAACCCATGTCAGTGGGGAAGAGCCCAGCAGGTATTTCGTCTTGGAGACCTGCTGAGCTTTGAACACCACCCTCTGGTTCCCAAGCAGAGCAGGACCCACATGCTGGAGCTGGTGGTGGCTCTTACTTCCAGCATGGAGTCCAGGAAGGGGAGCACTTTGCTGGGTGTGCCATTCCCAGCTGCCAGCAGGGCCAGGACCATGCTCAGTTTGCAGAAGACCTCAGAGGCCCTAGAGACTTCCCCTTGCTGAAGGGCCAAAACTAGGTCTGGCCATTTCCTTGTGTTTTTGAATCGCTTGTAACGTCACTTCCCAGACTGAATTTTGCAGGTACTCTTAGCTTTGTTCATGTGCAACAAAGGGCAGAATTGAAGCAGGATCTTGTGTTTTCAAAATTTATGTCTGTCATAATTACCTAAAAGAGAGTTTGTTTTTTGAAAAAGCACTTAAAGCTTAAATTTATACATTTCCTCAATGCATTTGACTTTGAGGTTTTGATTCACAATTTCTTCGGTATTAAATATCAAGAGTAAAAAAAAAAATTAAAACATGAATACATACATGTATGCTAAGCAAGATATATATAAACAAATGTGCACAGGTACACAGGTAGGAAGAAAAATACCACATTTAGCATAAAGACTATATTTAGGTGGAAATTTGCATTACAATGTTTCCAACAAACAGTGCTAAACTTTCTTCATCAAATTGTAAAGACAGATAATGCAAGTTAAAAACTGATATTCAAATCAAAATTTTTTGCTTGTTAATTAAAAGCATGAATCACTTAATTTTGATTGGTTTATCCTGCATTACAAACCTGATAAGGCAAAAGAGATCGATTTTGATGTTGCAAACAAGAATTCTTGTTCGTGTGCATGAGTGAAAATAAGAGTTAGTAGCTAATTTTTAACTGGGAATTTAGAGCAGGAGCAATGATCACTGGACAGCTTCACAAATTGCTTCTAAAATCGAAGTTGTTTTGCAATTTGTTCCCATTAAGAAGGATATGCAGCAAACTGAAATTTTAGGAGTCTACCTTTTCTTCATGTAAATTACCCAAAAACTATATCTATAACTTAGTGTAATTTAATCTCTGTAATAACAACAGCAGTTACAAAATCTATTTAAATAATCTGTAGTACAGTTAGCATCACCTAAACAAATCACAACTCAGGAGACTTCTGGTTTACATTGGTTTATATTGCTAGAATTCATACCTATTTCTTTCTATTTGTCTATGGTGTCATTTCTTTCCCACTCCTCTAATGGACTACTCAATTTTTCCCTGTGATATACATTTTAAATATTAGTTTTAGGGCAAGTGGTTGTAAGACTATTTTATATCATTGTGGTTGTAAGACTATTTTATATTGTTCATAGCCCAAAGGATTTTTAGTTGATGGAATAGCAATCTATCAAAACACTGCCTGAATGTAACAGATGAAGCCTCATGTGGTCGAGCATTCAGACACAGACCTATTAATAGTTTGCTTCTTAAGGGTAACCATCCATAAAAATCCAGCGAGGCAAAACCAAATTCAGCAATATCTGTCTGTGTCATGCTTCCCTTGTGTCTGGCAGTGTCCAGAGAAAGCAAGAAAACTGTAGCATGTTTTAATTTGAGGCAGCTGTGTTAAAAAAGAAGAGGATTTATTTACCCTGGCCGTTGGGGAGTTCATGGAGCTGCTTTACTTTCCAAAGAAACAAGCGAAGTGCACGGTTTTCACAGTACGAGCCTCAGATACACCTCACTTGCCCGCAACATGGCATTGTTGGCAGAAAGTGGCATTTTTGTTATTTGGCACATCTTAACTTGACCTTGAACATCTCCAGCTTGACCTTCACATTTCTCTGGGACCCCGTCTAAGGGTGGCTTGGTCCACTCCGCATAAAGCCACCCTGAGACAGAGACCTCTCTGCCTCTGGCAGGGGAGATCACTTCCGAATCTCAAACTGAGCCTTGTCACCTTGCGTCTACGTCAGGTGCCAACTCTTGACAGTGCTCTTGGCCTTCTGGGTATAGCAAAGCTTAATTCCTGGGTGTCTGTGCCCCAGAGAACCCATTAATAGTGTGAATCTAAGCAGCAGAGCTGGTCTGAAAATAGAACCAGAAGCCAACAAGGGAGTTTTGCTACCTTTCTTCTGTTTCATGGACAGGATGAGATGCAGGTGATACCAAGATGCAGGTGACACCAAATGCTGCCCAGCACCTGGGAGTCATGGTGTCTTCAGAGGTTTCTGCATCTAGAGTCTGGCCAGGCACTTGGAGAACAGGTATCTCCATTCAAGAATTTGCAACTTTCTGTGAATAACTATTAAAATGGAGGGAAAAAACCCTGCCACTAAAATGAGCTTGTTACAGATCACAGAGAGGGAGCATAACTTTGAGCAATCAACTTACATTCAGATATTTAACGAGCAAGAAAACAAAACACAAAGAGTAAACAAGATTTAGATTTCTTATATTAAAGTGTAAAAATTCAAACTTTATACTTATTTGAAAAAGGAAGAGGAAGAAGAATATCTGGATTTATTTCTTCTACCTTAGAAAAATCTTTCTTCACTAACTCAACATCAACTGTGAGAGTTAAAGCCCATGGGAGACTGATATGAGCTGACACCAACTCAGACACGGGGTTGAGATAAGAGCCATGGGCTGCAGGCCAGGACACAATCTTATCCTGTCTGAAACAGCGAAAGAGCTCAGTCTGAATGTATGCAGACTGTTTTAATTTTTGTAAATCATTTTTTAACTATCAGATTAAAGTCTACCCGGCTTTCCTTTAGCTCCTACTATTTAATTTGTATTCCCCTCCAGTGGTTTCATTTTTATAAATAAAATTTTTCCATCTGGGACTCTGTGTCCTGGAGTGTTGTTGCTGTAAGTACTGACAGCAAAAGTTAGTTTGTGTTTTATCAACTTCAGATTATTTCTAATGGACTTCAAATGACGGAATTCAAATAATTTCTGATTGATTTTTTTCTGATTGATTTTTTTTCTTCAAAAAAATTCCTTACATGTCTGTTAGTTTAGGATTTGAAAAGCTGATGTTTCCAGGCAGAATCACTTCAAATTGTGCAGCAAATAGCAACATGTCTTTTGACACATTTGAAAGTACAGAACTTGAGAGGGCAAAAATTAATTCAGCACCCAACTACTACTTGCTGTAACCAATTATCAGAGCTGAATGAAGAATTAAATTCTCATCAAAGGGGTTGCAAAGCTTGCAGTCAGTCAATAGGTAGGTAGGTGGGTGGGTTCCTGTCAGCTCCAGGCTGGGGCCCTGAGCTGTTGTGTGTGTGCACCAGGAAGGGGCTGCTCAGGAGACATCGGCATTGGCCTCTGCCCACCACCATGTCTGTCTACTCTGCTCTTCTGCAGTCATCTGCAGTTATTTGCATCTGTAACAAACAAAACAGATGCACAGAGATTAATCCCAAATCTAACATTCAGCTTTGCTTAGTAACGGGGGAACCACTGAACTTGGATCTGCATGCGCTGTCCCTGCTGTAGCTCACACAGATGCACAGCAACAACTCTTCCACAGAGCACATATTGTTGGGAAGTGGGTACCTGGCTCTGTTTACCCTTCATCCCCCACAAATCTGTCCTCCTGGCAGGGTGCCAGCCCCTCACTTGGATCCAAACAATTGTTAGAGCATCTATCGAGTCTGTGCTAATAACAGCCTTCATCCCCAGAGCTGGAAAGCTTCTCTGAAGCACAGTCCTCCTCTCTGATGTTTGCCACTTACCACCACAGCTTAGAAAAGAAAGGACAGCAAGTAACTGCTGTGTAACCCGCCCCCACAGCAGCCACCTCACTGCTACAGCCTCACTGCAACTACAGGGGGCTGGCAGTAGCCCTGCTGCCTACTCACCTGTGCCATGGCTGCAGGCTTGCTTCTGGCAGCTGAAGGAAAGCACAAACTGGTTTTCAAAAAGCAAACACCAAACACGTCCATCGTGGCAAAGCATAGACTGGATTCTCCAAACCCAACCTATGAGCACAATGACATATCTGGAAAAGAAAAGTGATGAGCAGCAAGTAATCTGTGCTGTAACACTTTTCTGATTACACTGAGTAAAATTTTGTTTCTTCTAAACCCCAAGTGGGTACTTATCTGTGCTTGTAGCTCCTATTAATCAGGATTGTAATTGCTGTTGGTACTCAGAACTAGGG